CTGTAGAATGGCGTGCCAGCTTAAGGATTCGGAAATATACGCATCAGTCTCATTATTCTAAGTACTTGTCCAACTTTACCGACACGTCCTACAGCCTCTATTTCATGTTCATGGCTGGACTTTTTACCACTTTCATCCTCATCGGAAAACTTTTCTAGAAGCAATTGTAAATAGAGTGGCAAAATTGCAATGAGGTCCACAGCGTTAAGAACACTGCGCAAAAAATGCTGTATGTCTGGAGTTGAGATGAGACGTAGTATGTACTCTAAAGTAAAGAATGCAATACAGACGGTCTCCACATGCTCCAAATAAGGTTTACCATTAGCAAGACCAGCAGAATTTTTGTATTGCATATCTTCAACTGTGTTAAGTGTCATAGCCACAACCGATATGAGAACAAAGAAGCTGGATGCTACTGCCATGGCCTTTGCTGTGAATGAAGAGAAGGGTTTTTCCATTAAGTTCCAGATACGACGTCTCAGTTGACCATAAAGCATTCCTCTAAAGAGTTCCTCATTCTCCTCGGTCTCCATTTCAGCTCTGAGTTCTCTTTGGACCTTTAACTGCTCATTGAGCTCATCCTGCCTCTCCTCAAATGATATCCGACAGCAACGAGGAGTATGTTTCACTCTTACTCCCCAATAGTTGATTTCTTCCAGAAAACTGCGAGGGCACAGCTCATCCCTTACCCACAGCACCCCAGTACGGTAGAAGTTGTAGATATGATGAAAGATAGCTGGGTCACGGTCAAAGAAATAGACATCCTCCACTGGGCTGTAATCATCACATAGATCTAGTTTACGTTGCCGATCAGTATATGTTGCCAATCGCCCTATCCGAGTCTTGGGATAACTAGCTGCTACCATGTAAGATATAAAGTAAGCTGTTCCACCCACATTGATATGTATCAAGCTACTGCAAATGTTTCCTAAAACAGAGGGAGAAAATAAACGTATGTCTTGGTCATCATCATAGGATCCATATTCATGGCTAGAAATGAACTGCTTTTTCCATCCATCCAGTCGTTTTTCTTCTCGTTCTGCCCATTTCTGTTCCTCTACATCATCATCTTCATCCTCAATGTAATATATATAATTGCTTTCTGAGTTCCAATGATAGTTGGTAGAATCTCTAGCCAGTCGAAATCTGTCTTCATCACCACGGGGTCTTCCACATCCTTCTCTAAAAAATGACAAAGGAGGAGCCCTGGCCCTCTGCTTGTACTGCAGCATGTCTGGTTAGGGTTCAACCATCCCAGTCATGAAAAGGACATCAGTCATACCTGTTTGCCAGGAGTAATGGCTATCTCTCCAGGGATGTATATAGTTTCTATCTTCCCTTGTATTTTAGTTGCATGAAAGGAAACAATAGCAAAGCATTTTATGCTGTATGTGTCTCTGGCAGTTTTACGTCCTGCTGACAAAGAAGATTTAAATACTTAAGAAGGGATTTTCATGTTATTATCCCGTTCAGCCTTCAACTTACAACATTCACTGGAGCTCTAAACAAATGTATCACACCGATAGACCTATATCCAGTTCATAAAACTTTAGCACTAAAATGACATTAATATGCTTTCTATATTTTAATTCTATATTTATTATGTGTAGAGGAAGATGGAGATATTTCTCAGTAAAGATGGCACATGCATGGATGTGGTGACTGAATGTTCTCCTTGAAATTAAAGCAATGTACTGTATATGGTATATTACATATCCCCATATGAAACAACATACTTGCCATAATGGTTTCCAGGGACCAGTTTAATTTTTAACAATAATTCCCCCTCCTCCTTATGCTACAAGACATATGTGCTAAAGTCCAACAGTGGAACAAATGGGGGAGGATTCCAGTACTACTCTGGGGGTGATTTTGCATTCAGCATTCAATAGAAGGAACTGTAGCATTAGGCACATAAGAACATTCCATGAATGCACATTGTCACTCTAGTTCCAGAGCTAAGTGGTGGGAGAACATGTTCATGGGAAAGTAATTAAAGCAGTATTAAACTCAAAACCAAAAATGCAATATTTGGAAACTTACCAATCAGATGTGGTGGCTGCATTAATCTTCTTTTTCTTTTCTTTTTATTTAGGCTCACCCTCCTGTTTTCACTTGGTCATGTAGCCAGTAACACACCTCCTGTATTAGAGTGCCGCCACTCTGGATGAATGTCCACAGGGGCAACTTTGGACAACAGCTTTGTAATATGGGGGAAAGGGAGTGTTAGATGTACTAGCAGATTTGCAGCAGATTACATATTATACATTAAAGCAAAACTCCAGCTCACACTGTATAAGCAGCTACAGCAACAGTCTTTTTTTCCTTTTGGGATCAAGGGTTTAAATAAATAAATAAATAAATAAATAAAAACTAACCATTGTAAGCACCCCTGTCTGTGGTAAATGGTTTGTCTAAATCCTGTAACTGCTACATCTGCAAGAGAGCTTGTTCTGTTGAAAAACAACAGACTTACTAGCTGGATCACCAGGTGAAAATAAACGAAATAAAGCCTAAAAAAAGAAAACTGATACAGCCATCACATCTAAGAATTGGTAAGCTGCAATATAATAAATATTTGCTTTTGGGTTTAATACCACATTAAGAACTATGGGAAGAACTGCTAGAACCCAAAACATCAAAATTATCAAAGAACTACCCCATTACCTGTACAATAAAGTATATGGAAACCCTAAATAAATTACTTTTAGCGTTTACAAAAATGAACTCTGACCACTAAAGCATTTGTAGATGGTTTAAAATATTGTTCCATGGCTTTTATTATAGATGTTTAACAATGGGGCATTGTTAATGTGAGTGCAGATTAATATTTAACCACACAATGGCAGTGTTTAGCATTACTATTCATCACAGCCTTAATACAGGTGTCCAGGACTGCTGGGAGTTGTATGCTGTAAGCAGAACTTTCTTCACAGTTAAGCTGCAACTAAACTACACAGTCCATGAGTAATCACCTAGCAGTGGGAGCATATAAAAGCAAAAGCCCAGAAACATGGAGGGAGTGAGGAGAGAGACTTGGTTGGTGACAGGAGCATGTGGAATAAGCTGTGTCAACCATATGGGCCTGGACCACACTGGGGTAGGCCAGGAAGCCACATCAAACACAGTAAAGCTGAGCATTCAGTGGAAAGGCAGCCTTGGGAGACTGTTTGGAGCAGGATCAAAGGAGTAACTTTCCATCACAGTCACATCTTTAAAAGAAAAAGGGTGCCCCCATGCTGGACTCTCATTGCTTCGCTCAACATTATATAAGGATTGACTGAGAGGGTTCCTGACCCACCTACCCTTACTCTTTGTTGAAAACATTTATTGCCAATCCAGTTTTTGTTCAAGGACATCCTTCAGCATAGGCCTTTGCAGGGGGCACATGTGCCAGAGCACTTTGATTGCAGCAGTCTGCCATCCTAAACTGCTTCCACGGACACTGCCTGCAGTTTACTTGAAAGAGTTAACCCCTCTACTCCCTGCTAGGCAGAACACTGTAGTCACATTAACCTAAGTACAAGCCATCTAAGGAAGGATTTTGTTCAACTTCACTATTTAAAGATATATACTTCTGTCAATTCCTCCTCCCCCCTCCTTAAGATGGCTCTTGTTTCCAACTCCTTATCTTAAAGTGAACATTTCTCATCAATTCCTCATATTAAGGAGAACGCCACAAATCACTTTCTGGCTAAATATGTGATTATTAAATTTCTTCATATTTTAAAGGGACTGTACCCTTCACTGTGCACCAACTTAAGGGTCCCATCCAGCCGGCAGAAGAACCAATCTTATAGTTTATTTGTGTGTAGAAGATTTGACAGACTTCCTAGTGCTTAAACCTAGACCCTTCTGACTGAGGGCCTTCAAGTGAGCTAGCCTTAGTTTCTTGTTACTCTTTCTCATCTTACTTGGGGAGTATCTCCCAGGTTGAGTGCTACTGTGTGTGCATATTTTCCTTGTATGGCAGCCAGGAGACTCACTGGCCAAGATATTTTGGTGCTGTCAGCAAGGTTGTGGCTCTGTTATGAGCCCAGTAATGAACAGAGGACCCAAATATACTAGCAGCTCCTGTGGAGGTAGCTCTACAGATGTGTATGAAGAATCTGCTCCCAGAGTTGAGAAAATCCTATAGTTTTGAACCTAAGGGGTTAAAGGTCATCTGTCGCTCATGTAAGGCCCCATCCAGGCCAGATGCTAGTTGATTGAAAATTGTTCATACCAGAGATACTAGGGCACTGCAGACTCTCCTGGACACTGCAGAAATTTCATTAGAGGCTGCACTGCAGAGTTCAAGCGTCCTCGTTGCCATTGTTGTTTCTCAGCACTGCAAATGTACCGTTAACAGGCCATCATCTTTATTATTCACACAAAATTCCTGCTCCAACTCCTCCTATTATCTCTTAAAGCTTTGCAAACAGAAATGCCATCATTTTCTTAACCACTAGCCTACAGGGCACTTATACCCCCTTCCTGCCCAGGACAATTTCCAGCTTTCAGCGCTGTCACATTTTGAATGACAATTGCGCGGTCATGCAACACTGTACCCATATGAAATTTCTATCATTTTTTGTGACAGATAGAGCTTTATTTTGGTGGTATTTAATCACCTCTGGGATTTTTATTTTTTCTTAAACAAACCAAAAACCACTGAAAATTTTTCTAAGTTTTAGTTATAACATTTTGTAAATAAGTGATTTTTCTCCTTAACTGATGTGTGCTAATGAGGCTGCAGTGATGGGCACTGATAGGCTGCACTGATGGACACTGATAGGTGGCACTGATGGGCACTGATGAAGAGGCACTGGTAGGTGGCACTGATGGGCATTGACAGGCATCACTGATGGGCACTGAAAGGTAGCACTGATGTATGGCACTGATAGGCGGCACTGATAGGTGGCACTAATAGGCGGCATTGATGGGCACTGATAGGCGGCACTGACTGGCACGGTTAGGTGGCACTGACTGGCACTGTTAGGCGGCACTGATAGGCAGCACTGACAGGAACTGATAGGTGGCACTGATGCACACTGATAGGTGGCACTGACTGGCATTGATAGGTGGCACTGACTGGCACTGATAGGTGGCACTGATTGGCAGCACTGATAGGTGGCACTGATTGGCACTGATAGGTGGCACTGACTGGCACTGATGGGTGACACTGAAAGGCAGCTCAGATGGGCACTGATATGTGGCATTAATGTGTACTGGTAGACACTGATATGTGGCATTGATGTGGCACTGATGGACTCTGGCAGGTGGCATGGATGAGCACTGAGAGCTGGCACTGATGGACACTGACAGGTGGCACTGCTGGGGCTACACTGATCATCAGGACACATGTCCCCTCTGAGGGATGCCGATTACCGGCTCTGCTCTCCTCTTGAGCTTTCAGCGTGACAGCTCGTGAGGAGAGAAATACTGATAACCGGCATTTCCCTGTTTACATGTGATCAGCTGTGATTGGACACAGCTGATCACATGACCAAGCTGACATCTTCGGCTCTTTCTGTGGATCGGTGATCCGCTATGACCAAGGGACACAGCGCACCGCCGATTGCCGCGCTGTGCGCTTCCGGAGCCGTGCATGCGCAGTGAGAATGGGAGGACGTCATATGACATCCTCCCAGAATGAGAGAACCACCTTGTGCCCGTCATTGGACTATATGGTGGGCGGGAGGCAGTTAAAATGGTGATACGCATTACTTAACAAATACACAACAGCCTGCTCTTCCATCAGCTGCTCCAAGAGCACATCACAGGAAGCAATACATTTTTGCTGTTTAATGGGCTGCCCACAGTCACCAATATTACTGGTGTTTATTGTGTCTTGAAAATTTGTCATGTAAGCAGTGGGCATTATCAATCAGCTGTACCTAGAGCAGCATTCTGCATTAATATGGTCCTGCATACATGATAAAGCTTGAAAAAATAGTTTTGGGGGAATCATTTTAAAACTACAACAATGAAGTATATAAGCGTAGAAATAAGCACTAATTGACATTTAATTTGCTAAAGTACTGTCTATAATAATTTTCTTTTATTTCAGTGCTGCTGATCTCCTGCAACCAGGTCTTGTCTTCATAAATTCACTCCAGCAATGGCTGCAATGCATATCTCAGGGCAAGTTTCCTGAAGGTGACAACAGTAGTCCATGCCTACATAAAGTACAATAATCGGCCACTTGAAGTCTCCATCGGAAGTCCATGTGACATGGTGTACAGTACAGGAGAAAAATTAGGGGACAAGGAAAGAGCATTGTCGCCCTAAAACAGGAAGTGTAATTTGTCCTTCCCCATATAATGAAGAGGGAAAGATGCAGACATGTTTTTAAACCAAATCAGGAGAGCAGCCTAGGGTGACAACCATGGCCACCTCCAAAGATGCAGTGGAGGAGTAACATAACCACCCAGAGACAGGAAGTGTGTTGTTTGCAGGATAATCAAGTGAAAGTAATAGAAAAGCAGCTTGAAGAAAGAAAGCAAATGCAGCCAGCACACCGAGGACTAATAATCCGCAAATGTATTACATTTTTTTCTTTTGGGTTTTATATATACTTTATTTATTTACACTTTTAATTTTACACATACGTGTTTAATAAATCAATACAATGTAATCATTCATATATTTAATTGGAATCTTTCAGATTTTGTTATTTTTGTGGGTAATCGCTGTTTTAGTTTCTTTATATTGAAAATGTCATTTTGATACACATCTGTGCAACTATCATGGCACATACAAAATCAACTGAACCATTTTCTGACTCTATATTTCTGGTGCTTTGCGAAAATTTATTATTTAGGGATCTGTAGCTAAATAATGATAATATTATGCATGTGAAATTAGCAAGATTGGTTCAGCGATCTGAGGTGCAATAAAGGAGGTAGTGCTAGGAAGCAAAGTTGGTTAAATATATTGATAGTAAAGAGACAAGTCTGAGCACACGGGCCCTCTAAAAAAAAGTTGGTCACTAAATAGTTAAAGGATATGCAAATCTGTCAAATATCTGAATTAGCTCTCTATATAAAGGGACATGATGTACAGCATGAAGATGGTATTTAATCAGGCTCAAATGCATGTTAGTAGTTTATTCATGGTCCAGAAATAATAGGACCCAATAAAAGTGAATAAAGCACCTGGACCAGATGGCTTACATCCAAGCATCCCTATAGAGCTAAGCTAAATCATTGTTTCAAATTCTTAGAGATTTTTTAATTAATGGCTTGGTACCAGTGAATTGCTGCAAGAAAATATAATATCCATTTTTATAAAGGGAGCAAGGTCTTCACCTAGTAACTACAGGCCTGTAAGGACAAGAGTTTGTCTTGAATATGATTCATTCTGGGTACCAGTTCAATAAAGGATGCTGTGGAAGTGGAAAGAGGGTATACTGTCTGGATTATCTGCACTTTTTATAAATAGATAGTCCATATGGTAGATTCAAAAGGAAAATATTGTGGAAGGTTAGCCAATTATCCCTGATGAACAGCAAGGATTTTTTTTCTGTTAGACCAAACACTAGAATTTTCACATGTCTTTTTTTCAGCCCATTTAAAGTGACTCTAAACCTTTAAATTGTTTCCTAAAATAACAAACGTCATACTTGCCTGCTCTGGTTTTTTTTCACAGCACCCCAGATCCTCCTCTTCTTGGCTTCCCTGCCTGCTCTAATGGCTCCTCATGCCTCCTGAATACCCCCCTTAGCACCTAAGGGGGTACTCATGCAGACTTCTCCCCTTCCCCTTCTACGTGCATCCATAGACACAAACAGTGGGGCTACCTCGTCATAGGATTTGATAGACAAAATAAAGGCTCCTTCTGCTATCAATCTACCTTGTGAGGAGAGAGAGAGTGGAGAGAGCCGCTGCTTTCGTGCACAGCGTTGGATCGAGATCAAGCTCAGGTAAGTATAGGGGGGCCTGGGGGGGATCATGGACACTGAAGTTTTTTTTCTCTTAATGCAGAGAATGCATTTAGGTTAAAAAAAAACTTAAGGCTTTAGAACCATTTTAACTTCCTTGAGTGATCGTTGCTGAAGAGGACTAGTGAATCTTATCTCAGGTAGTCAAATACTTAGGCTTTTGGCTATATGACTAACAGTGGAGGACCTGTCACGGATGTTAATATTTCAGAATAGGTCAGCTTTAATATAATCAATCTGCTATTGCAGAACAGACTTGTAACAGATCTGAGAACTGTTATCAATCACAGTGTGTATTTATTTATTTGATGGTCATTCTTTTTAAGTATTTGGCTGCAATCCTTGTGCCATCTGTCTGCCCATATGTGTACCCTTGCCTTCCACTCATGTGCTGGATGTCTGTATAATCCAGACAGTTTTCTTTTTTTTTTTGTTTCTTGTACAGATTCTATTTTTTTTTTTTCTTTTTAGGGTCGCTGTTTTAAAATGGTATATATGCACAGCACATAAAGAATATAAACAGTGTAAACAATTTGCAAGGCATATTTAAAGGATATGTTCACCTTTGGGAGCATGTTACACATTACATCCATATTTGTAACATGTAACTGCGGGAATCCCCCCGCACCCCTTTCCCGATTCTCCCACTGTGACAGCGGGCAGGGGTTCTTCTCCATGCACCCACTGTTGCAATTTAAAAATAGCATGGCTGTGCGGGGATCTGCCCACATGTCACATCATTCATTCACAGTGAATGTGAACCATCTGCAATTGCAGCAAATGGCTTGTAATTCTCAATGAACTGCAAGGGTACTGGTGAGTGCTCTTGTAGTTCATTGATACATTCTGCACACCAGTAAGTCCCTTTATGGGAGATACAAGAACACAGCTACACTGAGAATCTGCAGAAGCTTGGCATTGCACATGTGATCTACTGACCACAGGTGCAATGCTTTCTAGACTCCTGCAGGAAAAAATAATATATACACACATTTTTTTTTTCTGCAGAAATATTATTTCTTCCCAAAAGGTGAATTTAGCATTTAAATTCAGATTACAACATAGGCTGGGTAATGTGATGGTGAAGAGAAGGGCTTTTTCATTGGTGCAAAATGGCACAAAAGAAAAACACTTGAGTTGACGTTGTTACTGTAAAGGAAAGGAAAAAAATATAATTTAGGGCCAATTTTATTATATATAATTTCTAAATTTCTGAATGTTCCAGTGAGTACTGTTGGGGCCATAATCAGGAAGCGAAAGAATATAATTTCATCATAAACCGGCCACAACCAGGTGCTCCTCACAAGATTTCTGACAAAGGAGTGAAAAGAATTATCAGAAGAGTTGTCCAAGAGCCAAGGACCACTTGTGGAGAACTTCAGAAAGACCTGGAATTAGCAGGTACAATAGTTTCAAAGAAAACAATAAGTAATGCATTCAACTGCCATGGCATGTTTGCACACTCACCACCAGGGGTGGACTGACAACTCATGGGGCCCCCGGGCAATAGGGGATCATGGGGCCCCTGTGTCCTTGCCCAAACTCAAAAAAGCCTATAAAAAAGGTACTATGGGCATCTCATGGGGCCCCTACTGACCCCGGGCCCTCGGGCAGTGCCGAGTTTCCAAATGGTCAGTCCACCCCTGCTCACCACACAAGACTCCATTGCTGAAGAAAAAAGTATGTTGAAGCTCATTTAAAGTTTGTTGCACATTTAGACAAGCCTGTGAAATACTGTAAAAATATAGTATTGTCAGATGAGACCAAAATTGAACTCTTTGGATGTCATAATACACACCAGGTTTGGAGGTCAAATGACACTGCACATCAACCCAAAAAGACCATACCAATAGTGACATTTGGAGATGGGAACATCATGGCATGGGGCTAATGTTTTTCAGCATATCGTACTGGCAAACTTCATATCATTGAAGGAAGGAAGAATGGAAAAATGTACCAAGACAATGATCCTAAGCACAAAGCCAAGGAAACTCTCAACTGGTTTCACAGAAGGAAAATAAAGCTGCTAGAATGGCCAAGCCAATCACCTGACATGAATCCAATAGAAAATCTATGGAAAAAACTAAAGATCAGAGTTCATAGAAGAGGCCCACAGAACCTACAAGATTTGCAGACTGTGTGTGGAAGAATGGGCCACAATCACACCTGAGCAATGCATGCGACTAGTTTCTCCATACAGGAGGCGTCTTGATGCTGTCATTACCAACAAAGGATTCTGCACAAATTATTAAATACATTTCAGTTAGCATATTCAATGCTTTTCCCTGTGTCATTCCATTTTACTACACATACTGTACAGTATATCTATTATCTGTGTACTGTATATTAAACGTAAATGGATGATGTTTCCACTATAAGTTAAGACAAAAGGAATCTATAACACTATAACTATAATTATTGGTTATATATTAAATACACATTATATGATTGTACTGTATATATGGTGATACGGTGGTGGCGGGATCACCAGCCAGCCATAGGTAGAAGCAACACTCTTTATTTTTCAAATGTTAAACAAAAACAGCTTACTTCAGCATGGAAAAAATAAACAAAACAGTCCACACTTCCGGTACACAATAAAAGGAGCTCACCTCCGTCACACTTGTCCACACAGGGTTTTAAAAGTTCCCACCTGCTCAGAGGTCCAGAAAT